AAATGTTGTGGGCAGCCTCAGCCCATTTCTTTCTGCAGAGTAAATACGTTTGCACAACGGTCTGGGAACAGAGCCCCAGGGTGGGTACTGCACATGTTCAACACGGCTCTGGTCTCCGTGCATTATAACTGACAGTCCCAATCCAATCTTGTCACATGCCAGCCAGCGGGCAGCACCTGTCAGCAGGGGTCACCATGCTTAAACTGAGGGCAGAGTGGACTGTGCCCTGGTCCCTGGGAACAAAGAGCAGTAGACGGGGGTGGGACTTGACCAACTGGTTTAACTTATTTGACAATGCACCTGGAATTCTGTGGTCTTTTCACAAGAAATACACACAAAATTGAGCAACCACCACACACACACACACACACACACACACACACACACACACACAGCCCCCAAACCCCTACTTCCTGACTTGTCCCTGAGTTTCTAGAAGGTGACGGTGACCTCCCTCCTGTGCAAACTGGGAGGATGACAGTGCAAGGTTTGTTTTCCCTCAGTGCTCTGGGGCTTGGAGACTCAGTTAAGACACTAAAAACAGGACGCAGGCGAGCAGGGGCCTTTGGCGGAGCACTGTCTTGTCCACGTGGTGCCAAGTCCCCAGCCATGGACGGCAGGGAGCTCCATTGGAAAGAATCTGCCCCCTGAGATACAAACTCCACTTTAACACTATTACCCAGCAAACACCGGTCACCTGTCTTCAGGAGCCTCGCAGGTACTCCATGTAGCAAATGAAATGGGTCTCTGGGTTAGGGATGCTTCCTGCGGAGCCCCGGGGACCTCCAGGCCCCTCGAGTCTGGATTTTCTCCCCTCCGTCCATGTCCTCGCTCCCACTTCCTGCCCCTCCCATGGGCTGCTGAGCACCTGGGTGTTTTGTGGCTGGAAGCGGGGTCTGTAAAGATGGGGGGCGGGTGCCAGCCTAGGGGCTGGGCAGAGGGGGGCTGGCAGGCTGGGAAGGGGAGACAAGGAGAAAGGGGGAGCAGGAGGCGGGAGAGGGCAACTGGGCTAGGCTTCTGAATGTGTAGCTTTCGGAAGCCAAATATGAATTTTAAAAAGCAAAGTACACCCACAAAGGGTCTCTTCCAAACACAAACTCCTCCCCAAAGTCAAATCATCAAAACGCAATAGCTGTTAGAGCTGCTCCCCGCTGGTGTTTGAGGGATGAAGTAAAATCAGCGAACGTCCCCGGCCTTCCTCTCGGTCCGCGTTTGTCCTGCCAGCCAGGCCCGTCCTCAGCAGGCGTGGGCACGGCCCACTGCAGGCGCCGTGGACACTCACACGGCGTTGCTTCTGTTTGTCTTTTATTTAGCGAATATTTGATTACCCCACCTTCCCTCGATCAGCTCAACATTGCACATTTTTCCCCTAGTCTTGGTTTTTCTGTGTGAGATCACACCAGCCCTGACTTTCTGCGGCCTGAGACACGTGATCCCAGAGACACTGTCCCCAGCAAAAACCTTCGCGCCCTCTGATCTCAGTTGCTCCTTCCCACCCGTGTCACTGTCCTGCATTCCCTTTGCCGCTCAGAGCCCCGAAGACACCGCTGCCAGCACTGTTTCGCGCAGTCGTGTTCCTGCCTGTCTAGCCCCACTTTTACCTTTGTCCGAGGCCCTCCTGTCTCCGGCACCGCTCTTTCAGTCCGCGCCTTTCCCTGGCTGCCCGACAAACTCCCTTCTGCTTCCCTTTTGTTGTTATTTTGGACGTAGGTGGATCTGCAGGTGATGAATTCGGTCCAGTTTTGTTTCCTGAAAACACCTTGAATTGGCCTCAGTCTCAAAGAGGATTTTGATGGGGCCAAGAATTCTGGGTTGGCTGATGTTTTTCTCTCAGGCGTTAAATGCACACGCCTAGTGTTTCTAGATTCCAGGGTTTTTGGGGAAACTCTTGTCCCTGGTCCTCTGATGGGAGTGGCAGCCCCTCCTCCACCTCCCCCCCACCCCCAGCTCTTTCTAAGATTTTTCCCTGGGCCTTGAGGGTTCCACTGCAATGGGCCTGGACAGGGTTTCCTGAGTCTGCTAGTCCCGTCTCCCTTTCCAATACTCCAGTTACATGCCTGAGCGCTTTGTTTTTTTGGTTACCATGTCCCATGTCCCTCATGCCCTTTTCTGTATTTTTCTTCTTTCTTTCCGCTCCACGTGCGATCTGGATGCTGCCTGTGGACCCGTGTGGCAGGTCAGATGCAAAGCCCTGCACCCCGCGGGGCAACGCTGGCTCTCGGCTCCTGGCAGAGACGCCCGCACAGGCCCTTCTCTGGGTTTCTGTCTCCGCGACACCTTGTTCCGGTGATGCCTCAGGGTGGTGATCATCTCCGAGGCTTACGACGACCATCTCTGAACTGTGTCCGTTTTTTGGGCTGTTTTCACAAGGAGGTTGGGCTTCCTGCCTCTCTGACCCGCCGTGAGCAGGGGCGAGAGTCCACGCGTCCCGTGTATCTGCTCACGCCCGTGGTCCGCGGGCTCCCAGAGGCTGCACATTTCTAGGATGGTCACTTCACATCTCTTCGGGGAGACGATCATTCTGTTGCCGGGTGCCCGTGAACACTCAGGTCTGCAATTTCCCAACGAGCGCGTTTGCTGGTCTGTGGAATTTTCTCTGGGAGTTCCCTAAGGAGCCTGCTGACTCACAGGGAATGAACTCTTCTTCCCGCAAGTGACACTGTTTGGGGAAAATGAAAGCCCTAAACCCTTGTGGCTGAGCGACAATTCCTCTAAGGCGTGGAGACAGTCGCTGCAGTTAAATGATCCCCATTCAGCATTTTGCTAGACCTGAGTTTACTTCTGATTGGGCTCATCCCTGCCCTGTGCTCTGAGGAATGGCTGGAGGAACTGAAGACACGTGGCCCAGGGAAGCCTGGACCTGGGGCTGGGGACAGGCTTGGGTGTCGTCTGTCACTCAGTTTCTCCCATGGCTCATCCTGCCCATCAACAGAAAGCCTTCCCAGAATAGATTCTAGGACTTGCCCGTGAGGTTCTGGTTTCGGGAGTCAGGCACGGGCCCCCTGAATGTGCTCTTTCCCGGGCCTCCCCCGATGGCCCTGATGGACAGGCAGGCTTAGGCACCATGCATGGGCTGGTTTCAGGGAGGTGAGCATGCTGGTCGCTGACTTTAGGGAAAGCAAAGGAAAGGCCCGGACCTGGGGGCTGGAAGGAAAAAGGCGGCTAAGGGGAGTTTTGCAAATCAGAGCTCTTCTCGCACAGCCCGGATGAGGGGGCTTCGGACCCAGACCTGTTATCGGCCCAGGCAACCCGGCAACACCCTGGCCGCTCAGGCCACCTGAGCTTCTGAGACTTAGAGACCCTCGGGAGTTACAGCCGCTGTGCGTGGGGCCCTGCTGGCCTACTCGGTGGTGGGTTCTTTTGTTCTGTTTTGTTACCCGAATATGCATTTTATCTTTGACTCCCCTGTACTGGCCGCCAGCACAGCAGAGGCCTGTTTGGAGATTATGGATGAGCCACCCGGGATTACTGCTGGACGGTTCAGCTCTGCCAAGAAGCAGGGCAGGAACTGACGAGAGAAAGAGCTTCTGATACCACAGACAATGTCCCGGGCCACCCTGCATGCTGTCCAAGACGGCAGCGAGTGTCTCGCGCCCTCGGGTCTTTAAGAAAAGGTCAACCAACCGGACAGTCAGGAGCCGCGCAGGCACCGATACCTGCTCTGAGGGAGGCTGTGACCCTGGGCAGCTGCACCGCGTTTGCTGATTCTAAGAGTCAGTGGCTTATGGTTCAACCCCAATTAAAACTGAGAGCACCCCTCCTGTCGTGGATGGCGCGGGACTCTGGGAGGGCTGTGCTTGCTCCTTTGGTGCAGATGGACATTTCCAGATGGTCCCTGGCGCTCATGGCTTCCTGGCTGGGACTTCTGCCCCATATTGGGGTGGGCGGTGGAGCTTCCAGACTTGTAAGAAGCTCCAGGAATCCAATAATTGGCCGCCCCCCACCCATATGGCTGATTAGTCACTGTGACAACGACAACCAAATGAAACAGCTCAAGTATGGCTAAAGAAATTGATCAGAGGCAAAGTTGGCTCAAAGCCTAGAGTGGGTGTCAGGACCAGGACAAGAAACAGGGTTTCATCTCCCACCCCCTTCCCGAGTCCCAGCCCTTGCCTAGGCCACCTCTTTGTGAAGGCTGCTTTTAGGGAGGTGATTTTAACAACCATCACATGCCAAGGCCATTGTACAACACAGACCAGCTCTGGCCAGGGTCGTGGTCCGATGCAGGGCAATGCTGCTGCGACCTCATAGGTCTTCCCCTTGGGGCGCTCAGGGCAGCCAGGCCTCCTGCCTTACTGCATTTTAGTTTTATTTGGTGAGGGACGTGCATGCACATGATCCTTTATTACGATGTCTCACAGGGAAACCCGGGGGCCTGGGCATGTGGAATAGTGGGAGGAGCTAGGGCGGCTGGGAGACGGGGAGCTGGGCATCGCCTCCACTGAGCTGGGGTCCGCAAGCACTTTCTCAAAGGGCTGGCTGTAAGGATTTTAGGGCTTGTGGTCAGATGGTCTCTGCCTGAAGCTGAGAACTGCCGGGGAGAACAGATGGCAGCCACAGGCAATAGGGAGGCAACAGTGGCTGTGTGCCCTTGGACTTCATTGGCACACAGGCACCACGGGCCCTGCTTTGCCGACCCTTGTCTTACACCACCAGAAACTTCCCACAGTGCCACGTCACAGGGGGCATGGACAGGTGCACAGACATGGGCACAGGACCAGTGTCCAACACAACTCAAATCCCGGTGGCACCCACGTGTGCCTACCGTGTGAGGCGAAGCTTTATTGAGGATATGTGCTGTTCCCAAGGCTGGGCATGGTCACCCTTATCCTGGCAGGTGGGAGAGGAAGGGTTAGGAGAGGGCAAGGCCTCGAAGCTGAGGGTCTGGAGGGGCCAGGGAACAGGACAAAGCTCTCCATTTGCATGACCTAGAGCCTCGCGTCCCCTTGCTTGGGAGGGCTCAGGACCCGGCCGGAGAGGCTGCAGGCTGCCCACCTGCTCTACGTGGGCCGCACCTTCATTTCCGACACCTTATAGCTGTAGTTGTACCCTTTCCCCGACTGCCAATTAATGCCATTTGCAAAGCTATTGTGGGCTCCCCCGAGGTAGCGGCCATTCAGGTTCGAGAGGTGGCAGTTGTAGTACCACCAGGCTCCCTGGTACACCTCAGCACAGCTCCCGGAGTTTTGGTCGTTGTCTTGGTCTTTGGTGGAGAAAGCGTTGTTGTTGTGGGACGTCAGGGAATCGCCTGTTCAGAAGGAAAAGTGGGTGATTTTACACACAGTGCCGGGGGGGCCCGGGTCCCAGCTGTGCACACTGCACCATACAGCCCGAGGGTGCCGCTCAGGCGACCCCAGCGGACACTGGACACTCACTCTGCTGATACCATGGACTTGGCATCTTCTCGTCTGGCCTATGCCTGCCAGCTAATGGGCACCCTGTCGCTTAGAGGGGAGGCCACTGCCCGAGACACCCCAGGTTCCTCGGCAGCGCCGTGGGGTGGAGGAGCCGTGAGCAGTGCTAATTCAGCACCCTTTCCCATTTTCACCCGTGATGGCGGTTAAGAATCATACCATCACTCCCTGGGCTTTTCAACCACGTGTCGTGTCACCTTCCTGGGCACAATCAGGTATAGGCCCTGTTACCCCGATGCAGGGATGGAGAAGCCGCGGTGAAGTCACCACCCAGAGTCGCCCAGAGGACACAGCAGGGACACGAGCAGCCTCCCTCCGCGGCCCTCGCTCCACTGCCCGGTCCCACACTCACCGGCGGTGCCCTCGACAAAGGCGCCCAGGACCAGCTTGTACTTCTCCGCCTCACTGCCCAGCGCGAACGACTCGTACTTGGCAAACTGGCGGTTGCCCTCGAAGTCCACCAGGTCGATGCGGAACTCGTAGGTTCCTACCGAAGAAAGGGTTTGAGGTCCCAGCAGGAGGTCCCTGTGCCTCCAGAATTTGGGTACACGTTTAGGGAATATTTGAACTTGGCATCCAAGGGGAAGCGCCCTCAAGTTTCCATAGAAAATCCTTGACTGTTGAGGGTTTGTGACATTGCCTGTTCTCAGAGGAACCAGGTGTGGTGGCAGAGGAGCAGTCTTCTGTCCCAGAAGGCCCCGGTCTAAGGTCAGGGGCATGTGGATTTCGGGGGCCCCACTACCTCGGAGCCCCGGCACTGGCCCTACCCTGGGCAGTCAGGGCGTGGATGTTGTCATTCCCCAGCCAGAACTCGCCCAGCTGGCTGCCGAAGCCCCGCTTGTACGTGGCCCAGTCCCGATAGAAGTCCACGGAGCCGTCGACCCGGCGCTGGAACACCTGCGGGGAGCGGGAGGGCTCGGGCCCAGCGCCACAGCACGCCGTGTGGGCCTCATCCTAGACCCCAGGGGTGGCGACATGGGTGCCCACACGGGACCAAGGAGGAAGTAGGGGCTCAGAGAGGGCAGGCAACATGCCCAGAGCCGCACAGCTGGAGGGGCGTGGGGGCCCTCTGGGCCTCGTCCCACGGCCTGGATTCATGGCCCACCAACTCTCTGGTTCTCTCTGTTCTTGCTGAAGGGGGGGGGGGCGCCTGAGACAGAGGGGACTGGACAGTTTGACAAAGGCCACAGAGTGCGTGTCCTCCCACCAGCTGGAACCTGGTCCATGAGATTTCCGGGCACAGCTGCCCCTGCCTGAGGACTGTACGACCGTCCCCAACACCTGGTCACTCACCGTCCAACCTCCGCCGTCGGTGTCCATGTCACACAGCACAGTCAGGGGCTGGCAGTCAGGCAGGTAGATGGTGTGCCAGCCACTCAGAAAGTGCCCCCTGGTCAACAGCTCCTTGCAGTTCCGAGGTCCTGGGAAGGGAACCTGGAAGTAAATATGGTGACAGGGCCCTGGGCAGGGAGGGGGCTGGGGACCAGGAGGGAGAAGCAGGGACAGTGGGCATCTGCATGAGCAGGGAGGGTTCCCAGGCCTGGACAGAGGCCCTCCCACCCCCACCCAAGCCCAATCTGCCTGGCCATCCCCACCCCCCAGGGCGCCCCCACCTTGGTCCCTGAGCACTGGGCCTTTGAGGTACTCTAGTATTTTCAGGGCATGAGACTAGGAAGGTCATTCTGGTCCTTAAGGCAGGACATAAGTCCAGGCTGACTGCGGTCCTATGTAATTGGCCAATGGAGAGGAAGGGGCGACAGAGGGCTGGGCTATAGGGGGCTGCAGGGGCTGGACTCCAGGCCAGTGTTCCCTGCAGGTCTGGGCTGGCTGGAGTCCACGGACCAAACCAGGGCAATGGATTCGGGGTTCATCACCCACCTGTAGCACATCCCTCAGGTTTCCAAGGCTCTCCTGAAGGTGGGGACAGACAGGCAAACACATGTGAAAGGTGGGATGTCCAAGCCCTTGTCCCCTTAACACCAAGCAGGAAATGGAGGCATTTTCTAGATCTTTCCAGCATGAGGATGGTTACAGCCCCCCAGAAAAGCCAGCCCTGCCCTGGCTTCCTAGGGATACCAGCCTGTCTCTTGCTGCTGGGGAGGCAGAGTCTCTGAGCCTCAGCTACCTCCTGCCAAAGAGGGGGGCCTCCTGGGCAGGGCCCCCAGCTCCAGAACAGCCTTTGTCGGTGAACATGGGGATAAAGCGGGATGCTCTTTGGGGTGAGCAAGTGAGGATTCTACACATTTGAATATGTGTGGTTGAACCCGGAGTCTTTGGACGGTTAAAAGAGGAGTCACCAAGGGGTTTGTACTTCCTGGTGCATGTTTCTCTGACTTTCTAAACATTTTTTCAAGGAAACGTATGAGAAAATATTTCACATTTTATCAGTTATATATAAGCACATGTAACATATGAATAAATAGTCATATGCCCATTTATAATATATGTTTATGTATAGTTCAATGTATATATTTTATATTTATTCATCGCCTGTGACCACAGCTTGTTGCTCATAGCTTCTAGCCAACTTTGCATTTTTAAACACTACCCTGAACTTACTACAGCCCCAGGCAGAAAACCAGGGGAGGACAGGACCTTCCCTTGCTCAGGGGTCTGAGGCCCGGACAGGAGAGATGGGCTGGGACAGGCTTGGAGAGGAGTGTGGCCCCCCATTCTGGCCTCCCAGATCCCCCTTCCCCACAGAGGGAAGGGCTTGGTCTCCCGCCCCAGGGCCCATGCTCCACATGCTGGGAACCCCCATCTGTTCAGGATCTGCCAAGTCACCCCCTGGGGACCTCGGGATGGCCTCACCTTTTTCTCCGCGAGCACCCTTCTCCCCTGGGTCTCCTGGAGAGAGAGAAGGGTCAGCACAGCCCCGGAGGGGAGATGACAGCTCATGGCAGGACGCCCATCAGCCAGAGAAGGACTGGGCCTGTCCCCAACCCCTCCTGCAGCTGAAGTGAGGTCCAGGCGAGGGAACAGGTATTGGGGCAGAGAGAGCCCCTGTTCTTTTTTTAAAAAAATATATCTTTATTGATTTCAGAGAGAGGAAGGGAGAGGGAGAGAGAGAAACATCAATGGTGAGAGTCATTGATCGGCTGCCTCCTGCACGCCCCTGACTGGGGATCGAGCCCGCAACCGGGGCATGTGCCCCGACCAGGAATCGAACCACGATCTCCTGGATCCCAGGATGATGCTAAGCAGCGGAGCCACACCAGCCTGGCAGAGGGCCCCTGCTCTTATTTCAATGCCAGGGGTCGGTGCTGGGCTGGAGTCGGAATCCCGCCCTGGGCTCACTCAGTGGCTCTGGACACAGACCCAGGCCCTGGTTGAGCCAATCATCGTGTTTGGCGCAGGGTTTGGCTCCTTAGAAATGACACATGTGACACCCCAAAAGTGCCTCCTCCTCTCTCTCTACTGCCAGGGCGGGGTCCTGCTCAGGGTTCGCCCCTCTCCACGGTGATGTTACCTTTGAGCCCAGGGGGTCCTGTAATCCCAGGGACTCCGGAGGGGCCGGGTTCTCCTGCAAATTCCAAACACATCATTGAGCAAAACTACAGGACCTGGGACCCGTAGTGCCCCCGGGTCGGACCTTCAGGAACCAGAGGGAGAGGACCCAGCCCTCAGCCCTCACAGGGCTCCACTGTCCAGTCAGAGGCCAGGACTGGAGACCAGGAGCACTTCCCAGAGAACTGGGGCCCGAGCCCCAGCTCTGCCCTCGCCAGGAGAACCTGGGGGCGTTTCCTAATTGCTATTGCTGCAGCACCCACTGCAAGTTGGCACCTGGAGACACTCAGCCCCAGAGCTAAGGTGAGACTAAGGAGGGATGGAGGGACATGGAATTAGTGCTGCTGAGTTCCCCTGTAGCAGTTCACCTTGAGCCAACACTAAGAACCATGTTGGGGGCCAAAACACATGCACTGGCTGCTCAGTAAGTGACTAGGAGACTGGCTCCCTCCTAAGGGAGCTTCAGAGCCCTGGTGGACCAAGATCCAAGTCCCCACCTGAAACCCAGTGGGGACACTGCCCAACTTGGGGTCTAATATGGCAAANGGATGATGCTAAGCAGCGGAGCCACACCAGCCTGGCAGAGGGCCCCTGCTCTTATTTCAATGCCAGGGGTCGGTGCTGGGCTGGAGTCGGAATCCCGCCCTGGGCTCACTCAGTGGCTCTGGACACAGACCCAGGCCCTGGTTGAGCCAATCATCGTGTTTGGCGCAGGGTTTGGCTCCTTAGAAATGACACATGTGACACCCCAAAAGTGCCTCCTCCTCTCTCTCTACTGCCAGGGCGGGGTCCTGCTCAGGGTTCGCCCCTCTCCACGGTGATGTTACCTTTGAGCCCAGGGGGTCCTGTAATCCCAGGGACTCCGGAGGGGCCGGGTTCTCCTGCAAATTCCAAACACATCATTGAGCAAAACTACAGGACCTGGGACCCGTAGTGCCCCCAGGCCGGACCTTCAGGAACCAGAGGGAGAGGACCCAGCCCTCAGCCCTCACAGGGCTCCACTGTCCAGTCAGAGGCCAGGACTGGAGACCAGGAGCACTTCCCAGAGAACTGGGGCCCGAGCCCCAGCTCTGCCCTCGCCAGGAGAACCTGGGGGCGTTTCCTAATTGCTATTGCTGCAGCACCCACTGCAAGTTGGCACCTGGAGACACTCAGCCCCAGAGCTAAGGTGAGACTAAGGAGGGATGGAGGGACATGGAATTAGTGCTGCTGAGTTCCCCTGTAGCAGTTCACCTTGAGCCAACACTAAGAACCATGTTGGGGGCCAAAACACATGCACTGGCTGCTCAGTAAGTGACTAGGAGACTGGCTCCCTCCTAAGGGAGCTTCAGAGCCCTGGTGGACCAAGATCCAAGTCCCCACCTGAAACCCAGTGGGGACACTGCCCAACTTGGGGTCTAATATGGCAAAGACGAGAGCTCAGTGATTCCACCCTCATGCGGAGCACCCACCTTTCCCTCCACGGTCGCCGGCCTCTCCCTTGGGCCCTGGGGCCCCGGGCAGCCCCGGGCAGCCTCGGAGAATGGTGAGCTTCTCTGTGCCCTCCAGACCCAGCACCTTCACCTCTGCAGAGAAGCGCAAAGTGCCTGTCAGTGTGCTTGACCTGGGCCTGAGGGCCCTGCAGAGCTGGTGACATGCTGCCCCATCAAGGAGACCTGCCACCATGGTGACCTCGGGCCTGGGCAGATGGCTGTGGCAAGTGCCACCTGCCTCAGCTGGAGGGTCAGCCGGGAGGTGAGGTTGTGCCCCTCTGCTGAGGACTTGGCCTGTCTTGCCCACAGGTGTGCTGGGCAGGCCGGGAGGTGATGCAGGGTGGAGCCCTGACCTTGGAGAGTCCACCCCACCCAAGGGAGCCCAGCTCCTCAGGCTGTGTGTCCTCAGGCAAGTCACTCAACCCCTCTGGGCTTCTGTCCCTGGGCTGCAAAATGAGAATAGAAATAAGGCTTTGGGGAGGATTAGACTACATGAAGCAAATTAAAAAATCTTAGTATCATTCATGACATTTAGAAAGAGCTTCATCAACAGCGCATACTTTCAATAAGTAATAACAATAAATATTTATAGGAACATTGGGGAACTTGGGTCAGTGTAGCATTGTCACCTCTATTTCTTGGGCATGTGACCTTGGAAGGGGTGGTGTAGGTCCCTGCAATCCAAGGACACAGAGCAGCTCTGGCAGAACTGGAGCCAGAGATCCGACTGCTTCTCAGAGTTCAAGAGTGTTCATCACAAAACGAAAATGGCCCCATAGAGAAAACGTAGGGGACTCAGAAACGCGCAGTGCCCTCACGGGGACCCTGCTGGCGTCAGGTGGTATGCTGGTCTGTCCCCCTCTGGTCCTCCCTGGGCAGAACCAATGTAGGCTTCACTTTCAAATTTACTAAATTTTTGGTCATTAAAAAAGAAATTCTTGGTAATTTTAGACAGTTAGAAAATAAGACAGGCCCTGGCCGGGTCGCTCAGTTGGTTAGAGAGTCGTCCCCATACGCCAAGGTTGCGGGCTGGATCCCGTCAGGGCCCAAACAAGAATCGGCCGATGCTGCGTCAATATGTGGAGCAGCAAAGCGCTGTTCCTCTCTCTGTCTCTGTCTCTGTCTCTGTCTCTGTCTCTGTCTCTGTCTCTGTCTCTGTCTCTGTCTCTGTCTCTGTCCCTNTCTGTCCCTGTCCCTGTCCCTGTCCCTGTCTCTGTCTCTGTCTCTGTCTCTGTCTCTGTCTCTGTCTCTCTCCCTTCTTCTCTGTCTCTCAAATCAATAAATCTAAAAAATTTCTGTTAAAAAAAATAAAATAACACGTTTAGGGGAGAAATTAACTCACCTGCGATGTCAACGAGGGGCCCCGTGTATACTTCCTTCCTGATTCATCCCAGGCCTTTCTCCACAGGAACACAATGGAAATTCTTTCACCCAGTCCCACATTAGCCAGGCTAGTCACCGCAGGACCCCTGGGACCCCTGGAGGCAGCCTGGTCCCAGGTCCCAGCACCCTCCCCAGTGGGGTGGAGAAGCCCTGATCCTGAAGCTCCCAGAGGGAGGGTCAGGACCACAGGTGAAAGCTATTGGGCAAGGGAAGGAGGTCGGAGCCCATGGGGACCATGTTACCCTTGCTCTGCCACCTCTAGGACAGAGTGGGGTCCACCTGTCCCCAGAGGCTGAAGGCCCCAGGCTGAAAGGTCTCACAGTGCTGGGTGTGAGCTCTTGAACCATCTCCCAGTGCCGGCGATAATGCACTAAACCTGAT